GAAACAAACCATTACAGCATTATAATCCAGGCAAAAATTTCCCATTTTAATGTAATTTTACTCAACTAATCAGTTCGATGGTATAATTTTATTATCTATCAAATCTACTCAGTTAATTCAATGTTTGATTCATTGTACTAACTATTGTATTAGAATTAATCCTTGACGGTCGATGTTTGTTATTCTTGGACTTTAAATTGCTGAAAATTTATTCGTACTGTGATGGTCAGTTGTACTCGTTTGACAATAACTAATGCATCAGTACCAAAACAAACGGACAAATTTTAATTTCATTGTTACTAACTTTTACATTTTAATAACAACCAAGTTTTATCAAAAGTTGAATGACTCAAAAAATACTATTGAAAAGAATTTAATTTTATGCTTAATTAATATTTTTTTTTGTATCTACAGAATTTTAATTACTTCAACATTGTTCAACAGAATTTCAAGCGATTAATCATCCATTTGTGGTCAGTGCAAAGCTAAAAGAAATACATTGAAAAAGAAATTACTTTTGCTTATTCGAAATTGGTAAAGCATGCAGTGTAAAACCAAAGAGAAACATGAAGATACCTGATTAGCGTCAAAATGATTTTACAGCCTTTACATCGCCCAGATTTAAGCTTCAAATTCAAGCTTTTTAATCCATTGGTTTTCAAAACAAAAAATTTGTTTCACTATTGAAAAAGTCTGTCTCTAAAACAATATTTGAGATAGTTTAAACAGTTTTACTCAAAGCAATGTTTTGAAAACCATTGGATTAAAAAGCTTGAATTAGAAGAAACTTAAATCTGGGCTAAGATTAACACTTTTTCATTTGTTAAAAGTGATCAATTCAAAAGTAAATGGCTGTATCATGAAAACTAATGTATTCTTGTGTTTTACAATCATTCTAGATGAAAATGAACCGATTTCATACAAGGTTAAACTGGGCTTATTGTAAACAGGTTTATCTCTCAGACCAATTCTCGAACTAATCTTTAATTGATTTTGAGGTAAGATTGGTTCGCAGATGAATCTTCCTCAATAATCCATGTTCTACTGACTGTAAATATTGTTTCATTTTTTGAAAAGCACATTTTTCCATTCTAATATTTTTTCATTTTTCCTCAGATTATTTCTTTAATTAACTTGGAGGTGTAATTGGTGAAGTAATGATATTGATTCAGCAGTATTCTTGCATTAATTAATCATCATCAACTCTCAATTGGAAACTGATTCACTCTGACATCAACTTGATGACATGTTTAGTTAAGTAATTTGTCTTTGCTTAACTACATTTTGCTGTTATTATCTGGTAACTACACTTGACTTTTTCACATCACTTTCAATTAACTTGCTGAATATTGAAATGATTTACGTCTTTTTGTCTCTCTTCATTTTTGTTTTTTTTTCTTACATACCTGTCATTGACTGTCATTATCAACCATCAACATATGGGCCATCATTACCATT